ATTTCAAGATCACTGATGATTTTGTGTACAAAATACTCTGGAAAATCTGATCGCTTGTAGAGACTGGAATCTCAAAGGATAAAAAAGAACCTCCCTTTCCCTGCCTGCACCTAAACCATAAGGACTGCTAAAGTTTTGATTTTGATTTCATTTATACATGTGGGATCATTTTTGTACATAAATAAAATTTTTTGTATACAATAAAAAACAGTAGGAAGTTTCACTGGTTTTGTGCTAGTCAAAGCAGGAACTGGTCAACCAATATATGATGGCTATACCAGAATCCACTTTTAGGTGCCTGCTTGAGTATAAGGAGTACATTTGCAGTGCAAAAATTGTTCTAAAATTCTTTTCAAGAATAGGCTCTGATCTAGATTTATTTGGCCTACGTCATAAAGAAGGGGATGGGTGCTGCAATACTTTCCCTGGAGGAGGCTCTGTGAGTAGCTCTCTCCTAAACAGTCCCTGGATCTAAGCAGATTTCTTCCACAATGACTGAAAATGCTGGTCTGCCACCCTCCTTCTTCCCTATCATCATCCATCATGGAATCACTAGCCTCTCCTCATCCTCTGTCACAAGCAGATAACTTACTATCTCCAAGCACTGTACAGCAGAAGACTGAATTTTAGGCAGTTGATAAATCCTTTCAGAGCTAATATGGAAGTTGCATGCTCCCTCAAACAAGGCCCTGAGGTGGATACTTGTAAAGCTATTTTCACAAAGTTTTATGTATTAGAAGAAAGCAGGAATTCCACATCTCCCCAAACAAACTGTATCTATCCTAGCATGTGTTAGATACACAAAGGTGGCAAGACCTTTCTGTAAGCCTACATCCTAGCTTGGCCTTCTAGCAATCTTAAACATAAAATTCTTTCAAAAAACACACTACTATTTTTCTGAATTCAGTTTGGGTCTCTTCCCATTCCCATATATATTCCTCCTTCTCAAACTTCCTCAACTCTTTTTCTGGCTCAAAACTTTTATTCAATTTGTAACAAACTCTGCAGATAAAGAAGCAGCCTATTGTGATGTTTTATCCTATCCTATTATGTCTAAGACATAATTCTGTAGTGAATTTCCAGTCACACCAACCCTAATGATTTACCTCTGATTATCCCCATTACCTTCTCCCAGATCCCTCAATAATTAATTTAAGAAAATATTCCATTTTGAATAAAGACTTTAAATTCAAAAATTTCACCTCAACCACTACAGTTTTTCTGACCACTGCTCCTTAACATTTTAAAAGTCTTTAAAGCCCACTCAAGTCCATCTCCCACTCTCTTCAAAACTTTGCAGAATGCTGCCCTTATATAACTGTATTAAAGAAACATTTTATTACTGTATTATAGAATCAGAGAATCCTAAAAAGCCTAGGGTTGGAAGGGACCTCAAAGATCATCTCACTCCAATCCCTCTGCCATGGGCAGGGACACCTTCCACTAAACCAGATTTCTCAAAGCCCCATTCAACCTGGTCTTGGATTATATGATTTATTATTGTATTTCTTTTATTTCTATTACTGTATGAAAGACAAAAAAGGGCACTGGCATTGTTTCTGCATTTTTAAATTACTATTTTTCAAACTGTCTTTATGAAGACATGTTTCATACATGAATGCTTGGTCTGCATCCAGTAATTTCATAAAAGGTATCCATTTAATGACACCATTATCATGTCACTTAAAGTGCCTTATGTAAAATTCCTGGATTAGCACACTGGCCTTTCCTCTCAGGGATCCAAATGCAAAACTGAAAAATTACTTTCATGCTCTTAGCCTTGCAGACAGACATTACTAATTCTCAGTACAATTTGGCTTAAGTGACCATTTTTCCTTGGGGGAGGGATAAGTGTTGATTAAAGCAGCATGTGATTTTGGACCAGAAAAATAGACGGAATAAAAATGCAAGAGCATCTTGGAAATTTGCATGCTTACACCAGTCCTAGATTTGAGCAATCTAAATCATATTTTCATTTTCTGATCAATATTTCTTCCATTTTAAAGACACTACACAGTCTCTTCAAGAACTGCTGGAAATTATTCAGTCAATACATATTGACTATGTACACAATGCTTTTTAACATCATCTGACCTAGTGTGCTACGAAATTCTCAGCTCTTGTGGAAAAAAACTGCAAGTTGCCTAAGTCTTCTACTCACCATGTAACAAATCTAATCGACCTGTGAGTGTTAATATTGAAGAAATCTTTGGTCTTTGACAGTAAAACAATGTCTTGAATGCATTATAACCTTTCAAGTCTAATTTTTTTAAGTACTTTTAGAGCCGTACAAAGTTATTCATACAGAAGATAAAAACATTTACTCTGAGTTAGATTAAGTATATGGCTAGTCTATACATACTATAAATCTGGTTGTGATAGCACTCAATATACATAATTTCCCATGTTCATTAAGCATGTAATTTTCCCACCTGTGTTACAAGACCCCTTGGAACCTAAACAAGGCCCGGTAGCTTTAGTTAAAAATATATTACTTAATAATAAAACATATCAACTGTGATAAGTACTTCATATCAGACTTTAAAACAGGAAGTATAAAATAACTTTGGACAAAGTATATTAGACATTTTGAATGAAAATGAGAAAACCTAAGTGTTCAAGAAGCTGGCAGAACAGTCAGATTAGCACATTGACAATGCAAAATTTTACCTTCTGTGAGATGGAAATATACAGACTTGCAACTTTTGCAGTATTGTGGTTAAACTAGACTTCTTATACAATTACCTATTCCATTAATTTAAGAAACAATTATTTGTAATGATTGTAATGATACTCTAAAACAGCATTCCATGAGCTAATGTTTACATTTCTCTTGACTTTGCAGTATTAATGTAAAAATCCTACTTTTTCAAAAAGTAGAAATTACACTTTAAGTCAAAGGTTCTAATGTCCATAAGAAACACGAACAAATTTACACATGCACATATGGCACTCCTTACCAGCATGGCTCTTTCCTGCCTACCTTCCTGCCTTCCCTTCCTCCAGTATTCTAGTTCTAGAAAGTAAGGGTATTGCTACAGAAATAACAAAGCCCCTTCAGTAGAAATAAAAGATACTTCCAGAAGGAATTCTACATGCATAGATACAACCATCACAAGCCTTAACAAGCCTATTAAATTTGGCACACAGTGAGACCTCAGTGAGGACAGATGCCTTCAAGAATTTTTTGTAACAGTATGCAACCCAGTAGCTACCTACCTAAGGCAACATCCTATGCTGCTTCCTCCTACTGCTTCCATTAATTTTATTTTGGGCTTACAAAGTGCATAGATAAAGAGAAGTAAAGCCAATAACTGTTGGCAGCTAATTTGATAACAGCATGAAAAAAAATGAGAGAGAATGTGCAGAAAATTATTTTACTGTGAATTTGTCAAAAAACTCTTGTATTTTCTCAGAGAATGATTATCTTTCAACATAAAAAAAAACCCCAATCCATTGAAATACACACTACAGTTAAAAGTGAGTTTCCCAGCCTTCGGAATGCTAGATTGAGCAAAGTTACACCTCTCCCCTCCCACACAGCACCAAGTACTGCTGTGTGCATACCAGAGGAGTCTAACAGAACTACACACTGCAAGAACAAAGACCTTCCTCTCCTAACATACAATTAACAAAACCCAGACAAAAAAACCCCAAACTATGACAACTGAAGATTTGAGTTCTTAAGGGATGTTAGGGGGAGGAAGAGAAGACTGGGAGATAACCACAAGATTGAGAGGATGAGAGCTGAGAAGTTAAACCACAATTTTTAAAGGAGTATTTTTGAGAAGTGTAACAGAGATATTGCAAATTGTTTGATAATACTGTGTAAGAGCACATCTTGCACGTATCTAAATGTTAAAGTTACTATACCAGAAAAGTAGTATATTATTGTGCTAGTAAACCAGCAGCATAATCTAATCTGTACCAATCAATCCCAATAAAACTGTATGTTCACAGGCTCCCCTTCCAACTCAAACAATGAAATAATACAAATGAATACCACATATCCCAAATAAAAAAAAATTATGTGTTTATATACTTCTTTAGTCCTACAGGACCAATGCTGTAAGTACAGGCTGCATTCCACATAAACTGTTCATAAGAACCATTTAATACTATTTAGTAATATTTCAGTGAACTTTAATTTTTCACAATGCTGGTACATTAAAAGCCACTGAGTAAGAGAAGAGTCTATTAATAATGAGTAAAGCACATTATGCAGCAATGAGGTTTTGAAAAATATCTACACATTTACAAAATAAATCGAAATAATTAATAACTTACAGCTTGTTTGAAATAACTTCTCATAAATTAATATATCTGGCTCAGCAGAGAGTCTTATTTCTGTACTTCATTTCCGTGTGTATTTTTAACTTCACAGATACCCCCAACGCATTGAGTTACTCTAGGCAATCCTAGTGCACACAGATGTAATCATTTTGCACTGCTTGCACTTTTTATTGAGATAACAACAAAAAAAAGGCAAGCTACAGTGGTTATGGAAAAACATTGTACAGTGTCACCCTGATTCCCAAAATACATGATGAGCCATCCACTATTAAGGCATTAGCCAGAAAAGGTCAGGAAAAAGCACATTGTGTTTAAGGCTGATGGAAAATCTGTGGAAGAAGGCTCCAGTAATCCTCTGTTAGGAACAATATCATAGCTTTCAACAGAGGCATATTTTAATGCAATCATGACACTTTGAAAACTACATTAATCTGTGAGAAAAATAATTTTCTGCAAAAAGTACAAAATTATAGCAACAAAATTATAGTAAAGACCACCAGTAAAAAAATTCAATTATGGATACATATATATTTATAAGCAAACATATTCCACATAATGAAATAAAAAATTTCTACATTTATCAGAAAAGAAACATTGTTATTACACTAGAGCAATTTTTTAAGTGAAAAAATAAATATAGCCATGTTTAAGCATTGTTATCAACCCATACTAATGTCAGAATTAAAAGACTGATTTAAAAGCCATACCCTTTTCTGCAGAGTTATTGGCATAACTGCAGGCAGTGTTACTCTTCTGGAAGACAAACTCATGTCTGCTTTTCACAGAACTTGCCCACCTTCATCCAGGTGATAATATGAAGCAGAACAAAGTAGTTAGTTTCTTGAAACCTAATTCCTCATAACCTAAATACTGGAGAGTCAGCACAAAGGCTAAGGCTCTAGTAAATGTCATTCCATTTATGTGAATTCAGTACTACTCAAAGCCAATGACAGAACACACTGGGGTAGGACAAACTAGAAATCAACCAACCAAAGAGCTTGAAAACTTCTCTTCTGTCCTTGGAAATGCCCACACTATCTCTGGCTATAAAAATAAGCAGAACAACATACATTTCTATCACTCAGAGCTTTGTCTTTACTGTCAAAACAAAACCAAATCATTAAAAAAGACTACATTCTAACACTTCACATTGAGTGGTTACAGTCTTGGGGCTTTTTCTCTGGCTTTTTCCAGGGAAACAAAATATTCTTCAGTGCTTCTGATCTTAGAGTTCAGAAAAGTAACTGAGCGTAAGAATAGATTTAATGAATCCATGGAGTTTAATTATATGATTCTTAACTACCTTTAGTCAAAGCAGAAGCAAAACACCCCTTTTACTTTAAGTAATGCAATTACATTTCCAATGCAACCAAGACCTGAAAAAGTGGCACATAAAATGCTACAAGGAGTGAAATTTAAGACTGTTGTATGAACCTAAGTTTTTGTCACCCTCATTCACGTAATTATTTTATGTATCAAATATCTGCATAACAAATCTGCTTTCATTAACATTGTTTGACAAAGAAAATCTGGGTTTCTTCTTTCCTTCTTTGTAAAAAAAGGTAACATTTTGTAATGCTTAAATGATAAAGCAAGCCATAATCTTTTTAGAGGTCTCATAATGCACTTAATAGCAGATTTTTTTTCTGCTTTTATGCAGTATGACTAAGCAATATTCCTGTTGTAAACCAAATTATTAAACAGATGTTAGAACTGTGATATTGGATATTTCTTTCATAACTCTTGACCAAGCAGTTCTCAGCAGAAACATTGCCTATCGTAGCAGAAAATTGCAGACATTTAAAAAATTATTTGAAATAAGTGTTCATAGCATCTTGAACAATAAAATGTCAGATATCCAGGCTACTGTATTTCATAGGCAGTCACTGCAAGTGTATTGTTGATCATACATCTGATGTATAGGTCCTAGAAGTATTCAGGACTGACTTGGTAAATATTACAATAATCTATACTAAATTTCACTAGATCATATTTATAGGGGTTTTTCTTCCCCCTCTCAGTAACTGGAAGTGAGCACACTTTGTAGCAATCCCAAAGTACTTAAAAAAAAGTCTCATCTCCAAGACATAAGAAACTTTACAATGACAAGTTAAAAATAAATTTTATTTCATGTGATTTTCTGATTTGAGTTTTACAGGTGGCAAATATATAACAAGTCTCTGGCACCAATGATATACTTCACAATCTATGGATTCAAAGCCTCTCTTTTCATGCTAAATCACCTTCCTCAAACCCTACAATCAGTAGTGTTGAAGTAAGTTCTGTTGATGAACAAGAGGAGCAAACACCATAAATACAAAAAATACAGCTCCCTCCAAAAACTAAAACCTGCATTACACTGGCATTTTACCAGCAGCTCTCAAATAGTAATAAAATACTGCCAAGGAATAGGAAGCAAAGATAAATATTTTCCTAAAATTTCACAACCTGTTGTCCTTGATTAAGACACACAGGATGGAAAAAAACTGGTAAGAAATTGATGTCAAGTCAAAAAGAGAATTTCTTTAGAGACAGACATTTGACCCTTCTTGTTGCTTTAAAAAAACAGCTTCTAATAAAACTATTAAAAAATTAAAATCCAGCATTATTATCAAATAACCCATTTCCATGCCTGATAATAAAGATTCACTTTTAACTTTGACTCCTATTACATTCAGTTTATAGCAGCAAGAGATCCATAGCAACTAATCTTTTTGGTTGAAGGTATTTATTTCATTTTATTTTTGTCCAACTACAGTCCAAAATCTTTATGATTGTCTTGATAAAATAAAAAAGTATTTCTGAGATCAAGTTTAAAGTGCTACTTATGTAACATTTGGAATTAACATCCTTTTCTACTAGAGATAGCTACGATAAATGTCAAGTGTTTGCAATTAGGATTTTACCTTTCAGGCACACGGTTTTTATTTCCTATGGGAGCATGTTTTCAAAATTCTATAATACAGCTCCAAAATTTTGCTGTAAGAGTCAGAAAAAAACCTTGTGGTACCAGAGCCCGATCCCATCGCATTTTATTCAAGGAATATTAGACATGCATGTATTTGTAGCACCAGAACAAAAACCTCCCTCTACTCTTTTTCCCTTGGATCTTATGAAAAAAATGTTTGGGCAATAGTGATTGTAGAACTTGCAGCATTGCATTAATGACTTTACTAGGAAAGAAACAAAAATAACCCAAGCCATTTTTCCTTACCCCCGGGTACTGAAGGTCCTTGGATCTTGAAAGCATGTGCAGCTTTTTGCTCTATGAATAAAATTGACCCATTTGTCTGCAAGGTGAAGCAAAGGCTTATTTTCATCAGTGAAATTATTTGTATTGTATCTTTTCCAACCAGAGGAACAGACCAGACCCACTTAGAAAGTAACCAAAAACTTAAGTGCTGCATTTGACTTGGCAATAAAAATCCAATATTTAAGTAATGATTAGGTTTTAAATAAAAATATTACAGTAATTTATGTATAGTAGTGAAAGTAAATATGGTTGCACCAAAAATAACATCATGGAGTATTTTCTTTTCTTAAATTTCACAAACACATATTAAAGAAAATAAATTGAATAAAACAAGTGCAAGCCTTGCAGAATCACTTCACCATGTGAAAGTCAAGAGGAGTTCTATTGATAAATGTGAGATACAGAAGGCTTTGAAAGCCAATTATGCCTTCAAGGAAATACATCTATAACCACTTTTTTTTCCCTACAGATAAAAGATTTCACTTGTCCATGACAGGTCTGCAAGGAATTTTGCTGGTGCTGGTGGACAGGAAGGAAATCAGATCCAGCTCACTTGCTTAAGAGCCCTGTGAAATGACTATGTTTATGCAGCTTTTCACTCCTATTTTTGTCACTAAGCTACCAGATACAGTTGTGAAAACATTGTGCAGATACTTTTTAGATACTTCAAAATATAAACCACTTCTGCTTCTTGCCACTTAAGAAAGGGTGACTAAATGGAGTGGGCAAGAATTGAACTGCCCTTAGTAAATTAGTAACTCCAATAAGGGTTTTATACCAACATATGGAATAGAGATACCCTGCTAGAAGAGGAAGGTCAGTGATGTCCTTAAGGCACTGAATATGGAGTCACAAGAGCTGATCTATTCCTAGCTCTGCCAGATATAATGCAGGAATGTGAGCATTTATAGGTAACAAGAGCAAATCAGACTCAGCTTTTGCTTCTGCAGATGAAAAAAATCAATCTAGATAATATAAATCCAGTAAGGGTTATAAAAAAATTTGATGCTATTTTTTACTTGTCTTTGAGCTAAGGCAGAAGTTTATTACACAAAACCATGATAAATCAGGTAAGTTATTTGTGGTGCTATTTGCCCTTCCTGGTGAGAGTGCTGCTGTCTGCTTGGTACAGTCACTTTGTCTCTTTACCAGAAAAACCCTTTAATATGTGACCATAGAAACATACAGAGGCTGGTTTTTTGCACAGGCACATTTACATACACTTCACAAATAACTACTTACTTTAAAACCACCCCAAAAAAAGAGAGGTTTCAAAGTGATTGAATTGTTGTTTTTCTACTCATATAGTCCCTTATACAAAGAAAACTAATAGGCCTTAGTCTTCACATAGAGCATACAGGACACTCTCTTGGAGGGTCCATAAGGACTGCTGCAGATGCAGTTGTATTAAAACAGGCTGTATTACCTGTACAGCAACACAGACATTACAATGTACCTAGGAAATTCATAAACAAGTTTCAGCCACAAGGAACATAATGCAGTTTTCCATCCTCACCACCTTTCCTCACAAAATGGGGGATCTTAAAGCATTGTTACATATGCTCCTTGCAAAGCTTTTCAGCTGCCTATTTTTGTAATCAATAGGTTGAAGCCTTATAGAAAAGCACACTGAAGGTCTGTCAGTCGAATTATTTAAGACAACCCTTGTATTGCATGGGTTTCCCTCAAACTACATAGCACTAAATTCTAGCAATTAGGAGAATAAATTCTTGCAAACTTCCAGCCTGTTTCTCAACAGCTGATACCATTTCTGTGCCATTACCAAGAGCTTGCAGCTGTTCATAAACACCAAGTCTTAATGTAATCAGTAACAGGAGTTATCATAACATAACTAATAAAAAAAGGCTATTTATAGCCCAAGAATGCAGTAATTGCAAAATCCCATTCTGATCACAGGACAATCTAGCATATATTGATTTCCTGTGGATATAATATCAAGCAAAGAAGCTAGAAGACAGACCTACCAGTATGCAGTATAAGCATATCAGAAACAGGCAGGAACACCTCATCAGTATCCTAATTAGAAGCACAGGCATACCTCTAAGATAACCAATATATGTTTCCCTCTTGAGACTTAAGTATTAAATATCATGTACACTATTGGGCTAAAATATGAGCTGATTAGCTGCAAATGAATGTTCTGTGACTGAAACAGGAGAAAAGCAACTTCTCATTGTTACTAGAGCAGAGGTCTAATTTCTCCTCCCTCTTAATTTCTCCTCCCACAGCTGCCCTTCTTGAAAGATTTTTGTTGGCCTGTTTAGCTTTTTTTTTTTAAATCTTCCCATTTGAGGTGACTCCCATCAGGACTATAACATGAGAGGCACACTCTGTCTTGAAAGTCTCTCTCTCTGTTCATACTCAAATCAAAAGCAGTCATGGAAGTGTGAATGCCTTTAGAAGCAGTACCTTTAAACATGCTGAAGACAAACATGGAGAACATGGGCATTAGTCAACTGTTATCTCCCACTTACCACTGCCAAATTTCACCACTCGCTAGAAAGTGCCATCTTATTAGTAGGAATAATCAACTGCTAGAAAAGTTTGGAAACTCTGAGCCCCGAAATCCCCAGCTGGAAGCTGTATCAGTTAGTGCCTCTGCACACACACAGAAAGAAATCAGCAAGAATTGTCTGTAACAGGATGCCCTTCCACTGCCTGCCCATCAGGGTTCCTGCTACACAAGCACCAACAGACAACTATTATGCTAAAGATACTCATCTAAGTGATCTGCAGATGTCAAGACACAGATATAAGTTTGTCCTCTACTACACAGTTTGGTAAGAAGGGTGAGACATCTCAGGGTTATCGTCAGTTTCTATACATTTTCTTATGAAAGGGAAACCGAAAGCAGGGAGTGAAGCATGATATAAGCAGGCACCTTAAAAAAATGAGGAGCCCTTTTCCTGTCCTAACAGTGACATCTCCAATTGATCCAGTTTTCATTACAACTCTAGCTTGATCTCTTAATTACACTGGCACAGCATAAAGATCACTACTGCAAAGAGTTAGAAAGAGCATGAAGCAAAAATCATGGGGGAACAACCATACTGTATTAGTGGCTCTGGAATTATCATGTGAAAGAACAAGTCCTCAGTTATTATTGTAAATAGAAACAAGGAAATATGAGTATACAAAGAGTATTACAGTATTTTATCAATCACAAATATTCAATACAAGGATGATCAAGTTAATTCCACCTGGTGAAAACTGA